TGTGTGTGTGTGTGTGTGTGTGCGTGCGTGTGTTTGCAAGCTTTTGTGTTTCTGTGTTTGTGTGTGTGTAATACTAAAAATGCTGCACTAACAGCAAAATTAAATAACATACATCAAGCCACTCTCTCTCTTGTGTGTGTTTGCAGGCATGTGTACAGTATGGCTTGTGTGTTTGTTTGTGTGTGTAATACTCAAAATGCTGCACCAACAGCAAAATGAACATACATAAAGCCTCTCTCTCCCTCTTTCTCTCCTTCTATCCCACTCTTCAGTCTTTTTATATGACCTTGCTGAAACACATTGCCTCTGGTGAGGAGACTGTGTAGATTAACAGAAATTCTTCCGCTCATGAAAATAAACTGAGCCAATTTTAGTGTCGGCACAAGCTCAAGTGTTAATCCATTTCACAATTTTCAAAAGAGATTTGATTGTGTTAGAAAAGAAACATTTAAGCGACTTGAAATGGCATTTGCTTCCCTTTAGATTCTGAGTCGTTTCACATGTCTCATTGGTTTTAGTCCGATATTTTCATTCGTTATGGGGAATTTCTTCCATTGCCTGTGGTTGCGGATGAATAAGTGTGTTCCCTCATAAGTTAAACTGAAATAGGATAGTTGACACTTTAAAAATTAAAATTTTTTTTAGCTTAAAGATTTTATTTTAAAACATAAGAAAGTTGTATATTGTTAGAAATTGTAGCTCTTCATCATTTCCTGTATGTTGTTCAGAAGTTGTATACAACTTTAAGATCAGATTAAATATGATAGCTTGTAATAGCATTTTCTGTGCTGGTTTTAGGGGAAAATCTGAAAATGTGTTTAGATATGCTAAATCCATTAAGTATTAGACATTTTTAATGAACATATTTTTAATAGTCTTTCATTAATTTTGTCCATGCAACCAAAACTTTAACACATCAAAAAGTACAAAAAGGATCATCATCAGCACACGTTTTTGCCTCTTACAGTACAGACGTACGGCAGGAGGTTTTTGGGTAGAGAAGGGGGGATGTTGAATCAGGACACATCACAGCCGAGACTTCATCTGAATGAGCAGAATCGTTCAGTGTGTCTGGAGCAAGTGTGCTGACCTCTGATAATGATTTATTTATTTTAAGCTTTGCAATGGTTCATTTTACTTCTTTCTCTCAGACATTGTTGGAGACTACCACAAATCTGTTGAACTCAGATCTTCACTGGTCTCTGTCACACCTGCGTAAGGCGGTCAGTAGAGGGCTTCACCCCAGACAGGACCACTGCAACATCTGCTTACAGCAGTACAAGAGACGCCAGGAGAGCGAGGAGGAGATCATTATCTTTAGGTACACACACATATGTGACCCTGGACCACAAAACCAATCTTAAGTACCACGGGAATATTTGTAGCAATGACTAAAAATACACTGTATGGGTCAAAATGATCGATTTTTCTTTTATGCCAAAAATCATTAGGATATTAAATAAAGATCACGTTCCATGAAGATATTTAGTAAATTACCTACCATAAATATATCAAAACTTCTTAGTTAGATTAGTAATATACATTGCTATTACCTTTATTTGGACAGCTTTAAAGGCAATTTTCTCAGTATTTAGATTTTTTTGCACCCTCAGATTCCAGATTTTCAAATTGTTGTATCTCGGCCAAATATTGTCCTATCCTAACAAACCATACATCAATGGAAAGCTTATCTATTATATGTATAAATCTCAATTTCGAAAAATTTACCCTTATGACTGGTTTTGTGGTCCAGGGTCACATATACAGTATCATCTGTACACTGCAGGAACACAGTCCAATGCCTTTTGCTATAACAAACAAAACTGATGCATTTCACATTCTTTTTTTTTTTTGTAATTTTGAATGCATGTTGTTAATAAAAAATATATTTACTGTTATAAATTGGAGCTGTCACAATCTACATTTTTACTACAGTATTATCATGGCCAAAAGAATTTATGATAGCTATATCATTGTGATATCTATATAAATTCTAAATAAATAAATAAACAAACAATTAATGCTATCAGTCAAGTTCATGTTTAACTTTTATTTTTTGTTTTCTCCTTTTTTTGTAACTTACAATACAAATGTAGAAAAGTGGAGATATTTTGTAACCGTAACTGTACAAAAAGAACTTTACTGTTGATCGACACTTCCTGCAGACTGGGGTTTCTAACACTCTGCCTTAGCGAGCTGAATTTTTTCAGCTGCAGGTAGAATGTCTGATTTTTACCTGTCATCTCCTCCAATGTGAGTTTGTGTGACAATAGTAGCTACACACTGCATCTTCTACTTTTTGCCTACTAGTGACAGATGCCTACTAGTGTTAAGGTGCAATACAACCAACCACTATGTGGAAGTGCCAACCACATAATTATTGGTGCTGGATTATTTACAGTATTATCGTATATGTAATATTAAAGCTGCAGTGCTTAAATGTGCTTCTGATTACAGATAGCCTGGGATTACAAAGATTTGTATTTTAAAGAAAACCCTTTCGAAGGGAGCATAATTTGCTTTTTGGGTTTAAAGAATTTCTTAATATGAAATTCGAAGAGAATGACAATTAGATTAACAACCCATGCAAGCTAGATAATTCCGCACACAGCTGCAATTCCAGGTTTTCAAACAGAGATGGCGACAAAGGCAAAACTTACGGACTGCAGCTTTAACGTGATATCAATATTTAATTTCATAAATATCATAGTTATTGTGATGCCTCTATTAGAAATATTAGCGTTATATTTGCCATTGGTCGCTCTCTGTCAGTATTGGCATCCAGCCAGTAAAAAAATCAAGACATTTGTGGTGATTTTTTTCTGATCCCTTATTTTTGAGTGACATATTTGTTACTTAAACAAGCTGTTGTAGCACTCTGCCTAAACGTACTACACAAATAGACCACAATTAGCGTCATTCTGAACTCTTGTTTTATGTGTAGCTGTGGACACCTGTACCACTGCCAGTGTCTTCAGCGTAAAGAGGTGGGTGTTTTGAGCGAGAGGCAGTACTCATGGAGCTGCTACAAATGCACATCCAACCAGGGCACACGGCCAGCGGACAGACCCAGCGCAGAGAGCTCTCGATCATGCTCTACTTCTCTGGCACAGGTCAGTCAGGCAGTCACATTTCACAATCAGTGTGTTGACCCTAATATGAAAATTCTGGCATATTGTATTCACCTCAATATGCTTCTAAAGAATGTTATTTTTTCTATGGACCACAATAAGAATTCTTAAAGAATTGTCATATTGCTTACAAGTTCATACTGCCCATGTCAGTCAAGCTCCAAAATGGATGAAAAAAACACCTTGAAGGTGGAAAGTAGTCCATATGACTTTTGCCCAATATTTCAAATCTGAATGTATACCATCTAAAGCCGTATGACAGATTTGTGTGTGGAAGAGACAATAATGCACTGAAATGTTACCGAACATCTTCCACAAAGAGCATCAGTCATATTGACTACTTTTTATTCTTAGCTGCTTTTGATCCTTTTTGATCTATGAACTGTTGTATAGAGAAAGACATAAAAGTATATGAGCTTGAAAAGACATGATGGTGAGTAAATAATGACTGAGAAAAATGATTCTTTTGGGTAAACAAATCCTTTAACAATTCATTTAATCTGTTTTTCATTTGAACTGTTTCTTTGTGTCTTTTGTCTGTCCATGAGTGTGTCTCTCAGTCTATCATGCGCTCATCGTAATTGTATCAAAACAGAACAACTTTTCTTTAAGGGACTTTTTTAGTTCGATCATGTTTCTATTCGTCATTGTATCGCTCTCATACACTCTTTGGGACTACAGAGAGTTCACATTAAAGGTGATATGACTTTTAAGTACTATTATATGCATACAGCCAGGGTATATGTATTATCCACGCTAATTGGATCTCTGTTATGGGGCAGTGGTGTGTATGTAAATGGCATGCAAATGAATTTCTCAGCATGCACCTGTATTAGTCGTAACCATAGGAGGCTGATGGCTGCAGGCACAAAAGAGAGCCATGCTAGTATCCCTAATCACAGAGGTTTTGCCACAGTGATTCTTTTGGAAGTAAAGAAAAAATGATTCCCAGCCCGTGTGATTAGAATATTTGTTCAATTGCAAAAACAAAGCAAAGCTGCCTTTACCTTAAACACATGGCCCATAATTCCTACTGATTGAATCTGCACTGCAGCTTAACAAAAGAATGTTATATTTCTGTAAGTTAGTGATATACTGTAAATGAAATAATAAAAGTAAGATGAAAGTGCCGGATTAATGGGTCAGTGATGTGATAATCTAATAATTTATTCAAAAATGCAGGCAACCACAATTCATACACACAGTGATTAAATAAACCCCTGTGTTTCAGTTGTTTTGGTTGGTCGTTGCTCCTGTATGTGTGTTCCAAGTTGTTTCTCTCATGGCTTGTGTGGATTGCTCCTGATTTATTCGTGTGGGTTATATTCTTGTTCCAGGATTGGATTATATATATATTTGTGTTTTTTCAAATAAGCTTACTTGTGCTTGCATTTGGATTCTAACTCCATCTCGTTCCGGCTCACTCGTTACAGAATATGAATATGGTCTTAAATTATATTTTTGTGTTAACTATCTCTTTAAAGATAACATATGTGGCAATATAACTCTTGATATAGGATGATACTGTATATGTGATATATTAACATTTCTGTATGTGAGTAATTAAAAGAATAACATTTTAAGTAGATTAATAATTTTTTCTTAGAAAAATCTATACTTTTAGTAAAAGCTTCGCTGCTGCTTAATATTTTAAAAAACGTTTGTGTCTGGAAGATCAAAGTCATGTGGTGTGACCAACATGCAGAAGTATAAAACACATTAAAAAAACTGCAAATGATATCATAGAGAGGACTGCTGCAGACCCTCATGACAGATAATTTCACCTTTTTATGACCAGATGAAGGTTGTTAGGGTAGTTGGGAAATTATTACGACAGAACTGTATTCGAGTCTGTCTGACTGTATCACTGCACTGCTTTTGTCATAATCTGTCAATCACATTTAACCTGTCACCTCGTGTGTTTCAGACCAAAGTGATGTCTGCTCATCATGGGATTGTGGCAGAGGCTCATGGTAGAAAGGTAAGTGAGTGGAATTACATTCTACAACTACACTGCGTTTGATTAGTTTCAGATGATTAAATCTTACGTCAGCTGTAAGAAATGCTGTGTTTTAAATAGTTTTAGATTTATATTGTCAATTGATTTGGCAACAAACTTAATTGCAGTTTAGATTTCAGATTTTAGATTTATCTTTTGTGTGTCCATTCATCCATGGCTTTTTGGTAAATGGTAAATGGCTTTTTCCCTGCTGGTTCAAAGCAAATTAGCTTGCTTATGATTGCATTACACTCTCTCCCTACTTTCATGCATTTGTTTACTGGTAGGAATGGAGTGATGAAACAGTCCTGCCTTGTCTGTCTGTCTCTTTCTTTCTTTCTTTCTGCCTCTCTCATCTACATTTCTGTCTCTCGTTTCTCGCTCTTTTGGAGACATTCTCTCTTTCTCTCTCTTCATTGAGCATTCATTGCTTGTCGGTCAAGAGACTTGACGTTTTATACAATGTGACAGTGAGCCTTAAAGACAAGACAGGAAGTGACATGAACCTTTTGACCTATTCCTCTTCTCCAGCATCCCTTCGTCCTCTCTCTCCTTCAATAAACCCTCAGCCATTAGCATCACTAAGCACTGTGTTATCTGTAACAGGCAAAATTCGGCACTTTTCTTCACGTCTAAGTTTTCAGGAACCTGCTAACTCGCAGAATTATACCTGTGGAGACTTTTGCTTTAATTAACACTTAATGCTTCAGAACTCCTGCATGCTAATGATAACAAGGCTGACAGGAGGACGACACACAGCGGGTTTTTTTTTTGTTCCTCTCTCTCTCCTTTTCATCTTTGAATGCAGTGCTCTTGCAGCAGAAACTGCTTTTAACATGCAAAGACAGATTTAAATTCAAGTTTTTTTTTCAATTCAAGTTTATTTGTATAGCTCTTTTCACGATACAAATCACTCCATACTTTACTGGTGATAACTGAGATGACTCCACGTTTAAATTAAACAAAGTGGTAGCGATCGGACAGGTAGGATCTAGACCATCTTAAAGCCTGCCCTTGAATACCCATATAGTTTTGTAATCGATCTATGACTATGTCATGATTTATGGTGTCGAATGCAGCACTAAGATCAAGGAAAACTAGCAATGACATGCAGCCTTGGTAATTTTAACAAGTGCAGTTTCTGTGCTATGGTGGGGCCTGAAACCTGACTGAAATTCTTCATAGAGATAATTT